TAGAACGAGATACAGCATACACAAGGAGTAATACGAGGAAAATAACAATACCATACATAAAAGGATTATCGCAAAAACTTCATAGAAAATAATTTCAATATTTCAACAACATTTAAAACAACAAATACATTGAGATCTATTTTATCTAAAACTTAAACTAACAATTAACAAGAAAGAACAAAGGATTTCATTTAAAAAATACCTTCTGAATACTATCAGTTTTATTAAGGTCAAACATCAAGACCATTAAATGTTAGAATAAGTAAACATCAATCTTATATTAAAAATAGAGAAGTTAGATCTCAAATATGTTAACACGCATGGGAAAATGAACATAAGGTTTAAGATGCAAATATAGTCCTAAAAGAAACCGATGGTAAAAAGAGAAAAATTAAAGAAGCGGCTCTAATTGTACTAACTGGGTCGCAAATTCCTCGGCAGAATAAAGTATGATCTGGTTACACATATTAAAATAGAAAACTAGTAAAAGGAAAATACTACTAAGAGTAAATCAGTAACATATCGAGGATACATAATTTATGTTTTTTAAATACTGTACATATAAAATCACAATTTGGTGTTTATTGAGAGTAAATGTAAGACCAAATACTTACCATGTTGGGATAGTATTATGAGGTTTTTTTCCTGGTTTTTCTCATAATTTACTATGGAATCACTAACAGGACAATTTTACTCTCATCATGACATGTGGTTATTTTTTTAAAGACGAATTACCTGCTATGATTTTTTCTGGCGGATATATCCCAAGTTAAAGTTGATTTCATGTAATCGAATAAATTGTCTTACAATAAAGTCATCCCAGGAATGCAACTCAACAATATTGGCAACATCATTTTAAAGTCGCCTACTTTAAAATGTATAATAAATATATGTCTGACTTTTAATATAAATGAGTCAGATAAAATTAAATTATTAGAAGAATTTTTCACCAAGCAACAAAAAGCAAAATTTGTTTAATTTGTCAGTGTTTGTATTTTGAGAACGATTTTAAAAATGGAAATTAAAATTTCGATAAACTTATTTTGAACTTTAATTGTGGCTGATTCCCATTAAAACAGCAAATACTTTACACATTTTCACGTATTTTAGTTTAGGCCAGAAAATGTCTCGATCTGTACCTAACTACCAATTTTTTATAAATATAATTTAAAATGTAATGTTTTACCTTTGGTAACGTGAAGGCAATACATAAAAGAACACAGCAAATGTAATTTTTTGCTGTCTTTAATAGCAGGTTTCTTTCCAAATACGCATCAGTCTTCACTAATTAATTTATTCCTGTTACTACTTACCTAGAAATTACAAAGTAATTAAGTCTATAAATTAGAAATTTCTAAGCAAACTTTTTGTCCAAATCTGCGTCCCATACATATACACCATTACGACGACTTGTACGTATTATGAAATATCACGCCTTTGTGTAGAATTACTTTGATACACCATTGTTTGTAGAGTTGTTTGAAACTTCCCAACTGGTTAATCCTACTATTTGGCGGTATTGTAATTAAATCTAACAAGTAAAACTACTTCTGAGAATATTGCTATCTCAGACAAAGACGAAATAAGAGGATTAAGCGATGCAAAATTCAAGAAATTATTTAAGAGTGTAATTAATTAAGCAAAACACAAAGTTTGGGTTTTAGCCAAAACGAAAATACAGCTAAACAGATACAATGTTAAATTATGGTTTCATTCAGCTTATAGTTTGTCTGAAATGTATATTTCTTCGAATTACTTATTGATATACGTGACGGGTTAAAAAGTTCACAGAACGACCTCAATGTTCTAACCCAGGGGTGTCCAACTTGCAATGCCTCAAGGGCCAAAACTAAAACCTTGCATGTTGTCGCGGGCCATATAATAATTTTGTTACAAGTAATAACAAAATAAAGTGAGGTATAAAAATAATTAAAACAAAAAAGAGTATTATTTCTTTTATAGCTCAACAACTATATTTTTTTATAAACGGAAAATTTATTGATAACACTTTTCAATAATCAAGACAAACATTGCAAAAGCAACGAAAAAGATGTATCCAATTAGTGTGAGGACTGTGGTCGATCGGCTTCATCCACCAATGAAGAAATGTCCACCTCCAGTTCAGTTGTAGATACTCTCATAAGATGACTTAAGGGAGAATCGGTAAGGTTGCTTCTGTTTTTATTTTTTATGTATTTCATGGAGGAAAAGGCACTTTCACATGTATAAGTGCTTCCAAACATTGACGTCATTTTCAGTCCAAAATCTCGCAGGTTTGGGAATTTCTCCTTTGACAATAATTTGAAAAATTCAGGTCCCTTTTCTTGTCTGGTGATTAGGAATATGTCTGCTTGAAGATCACATAACTCAAGCTGTAAGTTGGGTGGTTGATCATCAATGGTTGCTCCAAGAGGGTTATTATAAAGTAGTACACTACTTTTGAGACTTTCAATTTCTTCAAATCTTGTATTGAATTCATCAATAACTTGTTCAATTTGTGAAATGCAGGATGAAAACTCAATATTTTCCTCACCGTTGAATTCTTCTGCTATTTGCAGACAGCTAGGGAAGTGTGTCAGGTTGTTATTTTCCAAAGCACGTTTAAACACGTTCAGCTTATTCCGGAATCCGTTTATCATTCCGATCAAATCTGAAACCGTCTGGTTTCTTCCTTGAAGACTCAAGTTTAACATGTTAAGATGATTAGTCAGATCTGTTATAAAAGCTAACTGTCTTAAGAATTCTAGATCCTTAAACTTCTCTTCCAGTTCAGTTGTGTCAGATGAAACGTATTTGTTGAGGAATGCAGGGATTTCCTTTCTTATGGCAAAAAATCGTTCCATGCACTTTCCTGCACTCAGCCACCTTACATGGTTGTACATTAGCAAGTCTCCATATTCAGCCTCTGTTTCCACTAAAAACTGCTTAAGTTGCCTGTGTAAAAGAGATCGATTTCCACCTCTAATCATATTTATAATCTTAATCACGGTTTGGAAAACTTGATCTTCCTTGACTGATTTTCCACATAAAGCTCCCTGGTGTATAATACAATGAATTGTTGGGCAAGTGACACCATTCTCTCGAAGCAGACCCACTAATCCAATTTTTTTACGTGTCATTGATGGGGCCCCGTCTGTTGCTATGGCTGAACATGTATCAAAGCCTCCAATTCTGTCAACTGTTTTCTTCACAGCCTCATAGATGTCTTTTCCTTTCGTTGTTCCATAAAGAGGACAAATATCAAATAACTCCTCTTTACTGGTAAAATCATCAAAAGTAGTGCGCACAAATATTAACAGCTGACTAACATCGGTTTGATCAGTGCTTTCATCCAAACAAAGTGAGAAATATGAACTTTTCTTAACCAGGCTAAGCATAGATTTTTCTACTTGCTCACCCATAGCAACAATCCTTCTTTGTATGGTTTGATGTGAAAGTGGCACTGATTCAAATTTCTCCGCCATTTTAGAATCACCGAAAGCTTTGGCCATTTCAACAGCACATTTTTTTATCAAATTGCCATCAGTGAAAGATTTTCTTGCCTTTGCCAGCTCAAGCGACACGGCATAAGACGCATGCAAAGAATGCGTTTGAGAGTGTAATATTTTACTGAACATACCAAAAGCTGTTTAAGCTTTTTCTTCAAATCTGCAACTAGCGCACGCCGACTTTCATTTGTGTACGTAGCATACTTATTTTCATGCACTGTTGTGTAATGTCTTCTCACATTATATTCTTTAGGCACTGAAACGACATTCATGCACACTAAGCACTGCAACTTTCCATTATTGTTAGCAATCAAGTAATCACTCTCCCAACTTTCTTTATAAATTCTGTTCTCACTATCAATTTTCCGTTTTATTGGTTTTACGCTCATTATTGTATAAGAGGAAGCAAGACAAATAATAAATCAAGTTCACTGTTAGTAGCACACTGGCACGATAGCAGAGAACTACGAACACTGCGTTCGTAGTTCTCTGACGATAGCGGCTGCCGACGGATGGTAAGCAGTGGGAGGTGTGGTCTGCGTGAACTGTGATGCACAGTAATCAGTGCAGTTCTCATAGTGATGGAGGACGATTGTGTTCGGTACACGTCCGCGAAGCGGCACGCTGTACAGTACTTGTGATGTAAAAACACAGCTAAACCATAAAATATAAAATAAATTAAAAAATCTTTTTTTACAGTGGCATTTAAAGAAAAAATATGCTTTTAGAAAATCTTACGTGGGCCATAACAAATAGCCTCGCGGGCTGGATGCGGCCCGCGGGCCGCCAGTTGGACAACCCTGTTCTAACCATTCTTAGTGCAGGTTTTCGCTCAGAATTAAAAAAAACCGCTTTGTTTAACATGCAATTTAAAATACACATAGAACATAATGTAAAAACAATAATATGCTGCCGATGTGTGCTTTACCTTAGGGGTGAGGGCCCCTCTTTCTCGCAAGTAAAAATATTTAACCTTTAAATAACTCCGAAATAATTAAAAAATTCAATTTATAGCCAAAAATGCTGTACAGCTTTTTCGCGGAAAGTTCAAGTTTAAAAGTTATTTACGGTTAAAATTGTTGGTTTCCTACATAAAAGAATGCATATTTTGGGTGGTTTTTAAAAAATAATTTAGTTTTTTAAAGTGAGCTACGATAAAAGTAATTCGAATGGAAAACATCCGAGTTAATAAAAAGCACAATTATTAAAAAAAAAAGAAATTAAAATAATAACTTTTTACTAAAAATAAAAATAAATCTTGTCCAGCTTTATTTATACATATAGATATTAATACCGTACCTAAAAGTTTAATCATTATAAAATATCTAGATTAAAAAAAAAGAGTTCAGTAGATGGTACTGTAGACTGTACTGTTATATTCATCATCATTTTGACTTTACAACCCTGTGTGGGTCCTAGCCTCCCCAAGAATTCTCTTCCAGTCGTCCCTATCCATCGCCTTCCTCCGCCAAGCACGTATTTCCATATTTCTCATATCTTGGTCTATGTTATCTAGGAATCTTGTTCTGGATCTTCCTCTTCTTCTTTGACCAATAGGTCTATCAAGAAGCGTTGTTCTAGCTGGGTCGGTTTGCTCCATCCTACATGGCCTACCCACCTTAGACGTCCTATCTTAATGTGTTTTACGATATCTGGTTCCTGGTATATTTTATAGAGTTCGAAGTTGTATCGTCTTCTCCAGACACCATTTTCATTTACCGCTCCAGAGATTCGCCTCAATATTTTTCTTTCGAAACATCCTAACATGTTTTCATTGCTTTTTGTTAAAGTCCAGGTTTCTGAACCATATGTTAGGACTGGGCGTATTATTGTTTTGTAGAGTTTTACTTTTGTATTTCTTGATATAACTGTAGAATTAAAAAGGAGATTAATCCCAAAATAGCATCTATTAGCCGTGCAAATTCTGCGGTTTACCTCTGCGGTAATGTCATTTACAATATTGACGAGCGTTCCCAGGTATACAAATTCATTAACTGCTTCGATGACGTCGTTTTCTATAACAAGTGGCCGTCGTATTTGTGGTTGCAGACCTACTTTCATGTATTTTGTTTTATTAATGTTTATTAATAAACCCATTTTTGTAGCCGCTTTCTTTAGTGCTACATACGCCTCCCGTGCTGCGTATTCCGTTCGCCCAACAATATTGATATCATTGATGCACAGATTTGTTATATATTGAACCGGTAGTTGTGATTTGTGACGTACGTATTACTTTTTACAGAGCTTTATAATAACCAACACAATTGCTGTTTTTACTATCCCTTTACCATTTCATACTATTTTCATGTAAATTTCTATTTAGTAGCAGTTTTGTTGGTATTTTTAAAGCTTTTTACATGCTTTATCGCATTCTTCAGTCAGATATTTTTTACGTTTATGTACGAAAAATTAAGAAAATTTCAAAAATCAAAATAACAAAAAAATCATGGTCAGTCTTGACATTTTGTATACCTAACAGTCACAATTTTGTTAGTTACATAAATGTAGACTGAGCTGGATCTTCAAAAGCACTAAAATAGAACAATATTTGAAAACCAAAATTTACGATCAGTGTATCCTTCCTATACTCACGTGTGGTTCACAGACGTGGACACTCACCAAGTCCAATATGGATAAAATAGTAAAAGCACAAAGAGCGATGGAAAGATTAATGCTCGGGGTGGGACTTATAGACAAAAAAAAACAAAGAAATGGATTAGAAGCAAAATTAAAGTAAAAGACGCAGGAGAACATGCTGCCAAATTAAAATGAAGCTTCGCAGGACACAATGCTCGACTGAAGGATAAGAGTTGGAACCACGAAATACAACAATGGAGGCCATGGTTAGGAAAGAGAAGCAGAGGCAGATCACTAATGAGATGGGCGGATGATATTAAGAAGATTGAAGGACACAAATACAAGCAAGTGGTGCAAAATAAAAGACACTGGATTGATTTGGGGGAGGCCTATGTCCAAAGTTGAACTACTTGAGGCTGAAGAAGAAGTACTTGGGAAATTTGATCAATGAAACCAATGATCATACTGTAGAAATAAACAAGCGAATACAGCTTGCCAGATTAGCATTTATAAGAAATAAATCCACTCCTAACATGCCAAACTCCTAATTTGAAAATCAGACTACATACATTTAATGTTATATATTTTTAGTATTATTATATGGAGCTGAAATTTGGACACTAAGAAAATTCAATTTAAAAAGAATCGAGTCTTTTAAACTCTGATTCTACAGTAGAGTATTAACAATATCATGAACTGATAGAATAGTCGAAATAGTCGAAAATATCTATAAAAACTTTTTTCCCTTTTGGGGAACAGATAACAAAAACATGATCTTGAATTTCTTTCCAACCTACTACTCTTAAGCTTTTCTAGGTAATATACAGGTGTAAAACACTGTACAACTAAGAATAAATCTGTATTTAACTTAGTATTTGATATATTATTATAACTCATCATTATCATCATCATCATTCCTCAACCTCTTGCATCCACTGTTGGATATAGGTCTCCTCCATGTTCTTCCACTGTTCTCTATCTTGCGCCTTCTGTATCCAATTTCCGACTGTTTTTCTCAAGTCGTCCATCCATCTTTTTGGTGGTCTGCCTCGGTGTCTTTTGTCTTCTCTAGGTCTCCATTCTATGAGTCTTTTGGTCCACCTATTATCATTTAAACGTGCTATATGTCCAGCCCATCTCCATTTGGCTTGTGCAATTTTTTCTATGACATCTGTCACTTTAGTCCTCTCTCTCACTATCCTATTTGGTACCATATCTCTTCTAGTTATTCCCAACATTGCTCTCTCCATTTTTCTTTGGGTTACTCTCAATTTATTTGCAGAATGTTTGGTTAAAGTTATTGTTTCGGAACCATTTGTTATTACTGGCAGTATGCATTGGTTGTAAACCTTTTTCTTCAAGCAAATCGGTAGCGTTCCTTTTAGAATATCTCGCATCTTGCCAAATGCTGCCCATCCCAAGCCTATGCGACGCTTTATTTATGATTATTATAACTATCTATTTCTAAATAGAAAAAATTGCTGTAGTAAGCTTACTGTATGTTTTGGTGCTTTTCTCATTCAGAAATTTAGCAGAATTACAAATTGCTGCACAAGGAAAAATGGGTTCGAAGTATGTAAGCAACCATTCAAGAACTTCTGGGGATATACTTAAGAGCATGGTATCTAGTTTAAGATCTAGAGGAGATAGATAGTATCTAATACTAAATTGTTCTTAATGAGTTTTAACTTGTTTGTAATTGCTGCTGCTTCCAATTAAATGTTATGAATAAAAATTAAAATCATAATCATACATTAAGTCACCTCTGTTTTGGATGTAATATTCGACCATCAGATAATGTCGATGGGTTGTCTAATCTTATAACAGATTCGGTCAATTTGAGATAGATTTATCCAAACTTGAGAAAAAAAGTCGAAAAGAAAATCTTAATTTGCAATCAGATTGGAAAAAAGTTGAAGCAGATTTTTCTTAAGTGTTTTTAAATCATAGCATATATAGAACATATGTCTTTTAAACAATAAAAGCAAATTTAATATTAAAACAATGGTTTAAATTGTTTGAAGTGAATTTGGCTTCTAAGTTAAGATCTCTTAGAAATTATTTCAATTTATATTCAAACTGTTTTAAAAATTATGTTGGTTTAAAAAAAAAGAAAAATTATGTTGGTTTGGAAAATATACATACATCTAATGTCTAAGAAATTGCATTACTGGAAACTGCTCTTATCTTCTTCTTTTTTTTGTCTTTTCCTGTCTTTATTTTTGTGTCAACTTGTCTTGTTTTTCAATGTGACTTTAGTAAGTTGTCGTTTTATTGTTTTTGTGGTCATCCCACTGATCGTTTTCTTCTTAGGAAACCGTTTTTGACTTCTTGACTACTATAATTTTTGCCATTCAACTTATATGATCGTTCCATTCTCCTCTTTTATTTCTTTACCAGTCATTGATTTTCTCCACCTTGCATCTCTGTCATATATTTGTACCGTATATCTGTATTAGTAGTGTCTTACAATCGATTTTTCTAATGGTTTTCATCTCTGTTGTTTCTAACATCCTTTTTGTCCTCTGTGTTAGATCGTGTTTTTGACGCGTATGGCATTATTGGTCGATGACTGTTTTGTTAATTCTGTCTTTCATTTCTTTCCCGATATTTTTATTTTCGCATATTGTTTTATTCAGGCAGCCTGCGGCTCTATTTGCTCTATTTACTCGATCTTCTACGTCTGGAGCTTTGCGTAGCTAGATAATGTGATGCCTAGATATTTAAACTCTATTATCTGGCTTTCTAGCTCCAACTTACATCTTAGTAAATTTGCTGTTGTAAACATGCATTTTGTTTATTTTTTTTTTAAAACTAACATGTTCAATTATCTGGTGATTATATTGTATTGGTACAAAATACGTTGTAAATCATCTCAACATAGAAGCCGTTTTATGGTAATAAATTGAAATTTGCAGTTCAATAACAATTCTCTGCTGTCATCCGTGTAGAAAAAAAACCGACATTAATAAAATACGCTGTCTTTGAACAAAATAAAAACAAATTTGAAGAAAGTGGGTATATTCTCCAAGTAACCTGCATTAGTTGAGCAAATGATATGTTACAATGGACACCATTTTTTAAAACAATATAAAAAAGAACACCTCAATAGGTTTGAGTTTAAACAATGGGTCTTATGCTCAGCGCTGGCTGAATATTATTTCTAGATGAATTTATATTATTCTTTTTTATTCTTTTCTATTATAGGTAGGAAAACTGCCTGTTCTATCTTTGGTATATTCTAACCTAGGTACAAACCAAAGTGTTAAGTGTTCTTTAAATATCTACGACAATGTTATTGAAACTGTTTTGTATTTGGATCAAGACTATAAGATTGAAATCATGTAATGGAATTCCGTAAATAATTAATTACGTACATAGGTATATGTAAACGATATATTTAAACAGATTATAAATATAAATGGAGAAAAGGGATTAAAAAATACATTATTGAAAAAGAAATTATCAATTATAAAAAAATATTATACACATAATAATCAGGAATTTAAAAACAAAATAAGTTTTTTACAAGTCATTTTGTTCTGTTCTAATTGTATTCATCATCAGTGGACGCTACAGCCCTTGGTGGGTCATGGCCTGCCTCAATCAAAACATTCATCCTCTCTTAAATCGTCCAGATATGTGAATTTCTATCTGGATTACTTATATCAATAGCTTGCAAGGCTTTAAAAACCTTATGGTATCGACGAAATAACATAGAGAAATGTATGAAAGCTACCCAAATATTTATTGATAATGTATTGTTTTAATGTATCAAGAACAATAACAGAATTTTGTAAAATATTTGGCAGTAACTGTTCTACAAACACTTTTTATAAGTATCTACATCCATTTCGTAATGAACCTCTTTTCTTACACAGGAAATTAAGTTCAGCGTTTTCTACAAAACCATCATTACTAGCAGCATATAATAGTGCAAAACGAGCTCCAGAGCCACCTGGATATTTTTTAGGCATATATGCTATATTCTGTACAACATAATGCTTTGCTTGCTTATGCCATAGCAGCAATTACGTTAATCGATATTGCAAAGTAGTTAATCCCAAAATACTGTAAATCCCAAGGAAAAAACTGACTAACTTTTTGTAATAAACAGCAATGCTCTCAAAACTTTCTTATGCTAAATTAATATATTTAATAAACATACCTAAATGAAATGTGAAGAGGTCAGTGGATGGGGTTAGTTTGGTTTCAAAAATGAACTTGGCACGGGAGAAGTGACCTTTAGTGTGCAAACATTAATACAGTATTGTTTATACGAAAGAAAGGATGTTTTTGTCTGTTTCATCGATTATAAGAAAGCATTCGATAATGTAAAACACGAATTGATGATAAAATACCTACAAGAGTTGCGATTGGATGCCAAGGATATAAGAATTATCGCCAATCTGTATTGAAACCAGACAGCAACAGTACGTCTTCAAAATTTCAACAAAACAGAAAATTTCTACATTAAAAAAGAGTAAGGCAAGGTTGTATACCTTCTCCAATGCTGTTCAATTTATACGTAGAAAAAGCGTTCGCAGAAGCAGTGGCAGATTCTAATAAGGGTATTAAAGTTAACGGCATATTTATTAATAACATCAGGTATGCCGATGATACAGCCATAGTGGCAGATAACATTAAAGTTCTTCAATGCCTTTTAAATAATCTAACTCTTGCAAGTGAAGCTCGGGGTTTGAAAATAAATATCAAGAAGACAAAAACAATGATTATAAGTAGAAATGATTACCCCAACGCAAAGATATGTTCATG